GAGTGGCCACCAGGGCACCTGTGCTTTTTCTTCTTTCCTCTTCTTTCGAAAGAACTCCCTCTTCCCCATCCACACACACCTTTTCCCGAAAGAGCTCTTTTGGAAAAAGTCTTCTTCCTTGTAGAAAGAGGTTTACCAATGCCGGAACCTCCCCTACCTCCCCCGCCCTCCGCCCCTCATTCTTTCTATTTACTTTTGGAAGAATGCGATTGTAGTGCGGACGTAACTCAGATTTTGTCGGAAAAACAGCCGTATTTCCGACAAAAGTCTAACGTGTAGATGTACCCTGGGCCAGTGACGGTGACGTCTCCGTGGGGTCAGGGAGCGCTTTCACTCGAAGGGACTCAGAAGTCCCCTGCGGTGTGCTAGCAAAGCCATACAGCATCTGCTCTTACAGCGACACAGTGTGAGCTAAGCCGGCGGTAAAAGAGCAGAGGCCTCTGGCCTGGGACTCAGGAGATCGGTTTCAATTCCTCTTTCAGTCACCGTCTCCCTCTGTGACCTGGGGCACATCGCGGAAGCTCTTGGTGCCCTTATCTGGCAATGGGACTAGTAAGATTGACTTTGCCTCTTTCAACCCTAAGCATTCTGGGGCAGGAACAGTAGTTCCTCATTTAACCTGTGCCCGCTTAACACGTTTTCACGATAGCACAATTTTTTTTTTAGGGAATGTTTTTTAAATTACACGAATGTCCCCGGAATAACACGATTTTCCAGCCAGCCCATTGCTGGTGGCTGCGCGGGGCTTCCCCCACCTCCCTGCAACGCGGCGGAGGGCTTGCCACTTGCCGCACCGTTCCCCAGTGACGCCCCCTCGCCGGATGCAGTGCGGGTCCCAGCAGACCCATCACAGGGGCATATTCCCAACCCAATCCCCCTCCCCTCTCCTCCCCTTCCCTTCCCCTGAGCCAAAAACCTCCCCTACCTGCTATAACCCAGTCCCCTTTCTCTCCCAACCTTATGTCCCGGTCCCAACAGACACCACCGCTTGAAACGCAACCCCCACCTTTTTCATTATTTTCAATGGGAAAATTGACACGTTTTCACTTAACACGATCATTTTCTGAAACATATCTAGAGTGTTAAATGAGGAATTACTGTACAGCATCTAGCTCAGCCTATTTATTACTGTGCTGGTAGTAACGTAGGAGTCACAATTATGGACTTTCAAATAAACAAACATCGCTCAGGCCAGCCACCCACTGCTCTCAATAACCCAGCCCGCACGAGTGAGTCTCCCTGTAATAACAAACCAAAATGTCCCGCCAATGCTTACCACCGACCCTACAATAACAAAGCCCCCTGCCACTCACAAGTCCCTTCTACAGGAACAACCCAGCGTGTGCAACAACCTCCCTTCCAAACCGTTGTGCGGTTACCAGCAAGGATAAGATAAGAAGACCTGCAGGGTGTTAAATGTAGAAGTGTTTTTAAAAAAAATTAAAGGTCATAGTTATTTCACAGCTGGTTCACGCTGAATACTGCTGGGTCAAATCGTCACGTGGCCTAAAAATCCACCACGCTTCAATGACGTCAGCGGCATTACACTGTTTTACACCATCTGAAGATCAGGCCTCACAAGTTTTAGGAAGATTTTCCTTTTCTAGGGATAGAGTAAATGGCTTGTTGATCTGAGAGAAGATCTGTACCGCTCATGCCAGATAGGGAGGCCGATCGAAAGGTCTGTAATGTATATGGCTTCATAACAGTGCGTGATTGAAATACAAATGAAATAGTGCAAATGAAATAGTGCAAGAGGCCTCCAACACAAGGGTCCTCTCCGGTACTTAGGAAGGCGGCATGCTCTCACTGCAAAGTCAATACTAAGCAAGTTGGGAATAAAGAGGCATTGATTCGGCTAGCAGAAGGCAAATAGACGAGGCAGAGTTCTAACAGGTCAATAACACTATCTAGTTCAAACAAACTACAGTGCACTGACCTCCAGATGACAGGAGTGAAAGGGAGAAAAAAAGCCCAACTCAAATTCATGACGATTAAAGAGGGTCAAGTCTTTCCCAACCTTCTCTGTGAAACAAACCAGTTCTACTGGGAGACGTGAGCTTAATAAGGAACGCCCGCCTGGGAACGGGGCAATATCTCAGTGAGAGCACTAACAGCTTGTAAAAGGGGAAATCGAGGCTGGAAAGAGAATGGGAACGATCCACGCTGACATCATGGCGTTTCTTTAGGAGACTTTCCAGCTCTCCGGATCTTCAGCTGGTGTCGAGCGGCAAAGCTCGATGGAAGCCTGGTGTGACGCCGGATGAGCATCTGGTTCAAAGTAGCACAAGGTGCAGAAAATAATGGTTATGGGGCCTAACCTGACTCCCGGTGGATTGGCTCCTATGTACTAGGAAAGCTGTGACGGCGCATCGGGGTTCCCCCCGATCCTGCACCCCCGTGGCAGCCAGAACAGTCTCCGCCAGCTGATAGAATAGAGAGGGTTTATTGCTTCTCCAGGGTACAGCCCAGCATAGACGTGATGTGGCTACAGGAGTCAGGGCCAGGATGCCTCAGACCCCTTGAGATGGGGTGTCTAAGCCTCTAGACTCCCAACCCCCTGCTTTGTCTGTCCCGTTCATGGTTTCCCCTAGTCAAAACCTGACTCTTCCCCCAATACTCACTGCCTTTTTTCAGTCCCTGCCCTCAACAGGTAAGCACCAGTTGGGTCACTGTCTATGTGACCTCAGGGCACCCCTCTACTGTTCAGTGTTTACAGATACAGGCCAGTAGGGGTCACCCACAGCCCAAACACAGTGCCGGTGTGCCCACTACATCACAGAAGCAGCCTGAAGCAGCGGTGGAGGTCTGGCGTAGAGGGGGAAGTGAGGTCGAGAACAGAGGAGGAAGAGCTCGAAAAAACGTAACAGCGGCCCTTGATCCAAACACTCTTGCTCAAGGAGTGACATGATGAGCTCAGCGGCACCAGGTGGGCTGCACCCTTGCAGAGGACAAGTGCGATTGTAACCTACTGCTCGGGCTAAAAGCCAGCTGGCTCTCAGCTAAGGTTACAGAGCAAACTCATTCTTTCTCTCTCCGAAAGTGGTCTACGTGCCAGTGGTTTTCAAACAACGGGTCGCGACCCAGGACTGGGGGGTGGAATGTCGGGCGCCGGGTCTTGTTGCTGCAGGGGGATTAGGTGAGCAGTGGGGGCGCTAAGGCAGGTTACTTGCCTGTCCTGGCACCGCAGACCGTGCTGCGCCCCAGAAGTGGCCGGCAGCAGGCCCGGCTCCTAGGTGTGGAGGGGGGGAGCGCACAGGGCTCTATGCACTGCCGCTGCCCCGAGCACTAGTTCCACACTCCCATTGGCTGGGAATCTGCTGCGGCTGTTTCTGGGGCGGAGCAGGGTCTGCGGTGCTAGGAGAGGCAGGAAGCTGCCTTAGCCCCCCCCCCGCACCGCTGGCCCATTTGAGGTCCCAGCCCTGAGTCCACAAAGCCAGAGCCCCCTCCTGCAGCCAACGCTCTCATCCTCAGCCCCCGTCCCCAGAACCCACACTCCAGTCAAACTATGTTGGGTTGTGGCACCAACAATTTTCTTCAACTGAGTCACGAGACAAAAAGTTTGAAAATCTAAATGCCACTAGATGGGCCAGTGAACCAATCACAACATGCCATGTCATAGCCCAAGTCCACTTAAGATTGGCAGTTTCCACAGACACCAATGGGATCTGGATTCGCTTCCTGGAGAACATGTGGGAAACAGCCAGGAGAAGCAGAGGGGTGGCTCGAAGCTGGTTCAAATCCCCAAGTTCCATGGACTAGAATCAGATCTATAGATCTGAAGACCAGAAGGGACTTTCTGGTCACCTGGCCCTGTCTAACCCTAAGCGAGGCGGTTAGAAGTTATTCTGCCATTCCTGCAGTGGACAAACTGACATGTTGCACTGGTACTTCATTGAGAGGCAGATTAGAATATGCAAATCCCTCGCATATTATGCAACTATTAACATAATCTTCCTGTGTCTGTAGGGCTCAAAGTTCGTCCTGGTTTCTTGCATGTGTGTCTGCATAATGATTTCACTGGGGGAGGGAGGATTTGTTGATTTGCTGCCATTATCGCTTAAGGAAATCTAGCCGCTGAGATGAAGTCTGTGTCAGCAGCGTTCGTCCCCCTTACCTGGGTACTGGCAGTCAGTGGCTCATTACTGGCAATGAGCACGCTGCACAGCTTTGTCCCAGCTTGTATTAACAAGCAGGTTCCATCTCACGGTACGGATGTTAAATATCGGTTAATGGAATAGTCGAGTAACCTCGTGAATTCTTATTGGTTAGTCGATTATGCTGTAGTCCCCGGGGGCG